TTACATGTTATATGGCTGGGGTATATCTTCTCTTAGGGAACCGTATGCTTGACTGTCTTTTCAAAATCTAATGTGACTTTATGCTATGGTTGCCACGTTAACCTTTGTGGTTGTAGAAAGCATGTCACTAGGTTTGAATCCCAGGTTTATCACTGACTAGCTGTGTCAGCGACTTCGCCCGCGTAGAATACTTGTTTTGGGCAACCAAATTTTTTTTGCAAACCTCTACATCTTTAGCTGTCCAAGACATCGGTCGCGTCCCGTCGCTCGCCTTTCTTGCAAGTTAATCTTAAAAGATAGACATATAGTTTCCCGGACATTTTTTCAGATCAGTTAAAAAGAAATCATTCTTACATACATATTTTTAGGGTATCTTGAGCCGTTTTCGCAGCGTACGCATCTAAAACCCACAGAGATGAATTTCACTTTTCATGCTGTATCTTCGCTTCTATTTGGCAAGGCGCGACGTTTTATGTCGGTCGAGTCGGCGAGTCAGCCTATTATAGCCTTCCCCGATAAAGACAAAAATATTGTTTCAATTCGAAGCCGTAGTTCCTGAGATTAGTGCGTTGAAACCAACTCTTCAGCTTTATATATTAGTATAGATTTAGTAGCAGTAGTCGTTTAAGCCAGCTCCTAGACTACACAGACTATAGCAGAGTAAACTTTTGTGTGTGTCATTTATTGAAATCAACTCGCAATAATTTGTCCCCAACCGGTATATACATAGACGTATGTAAACGTTTATCTTTTGTTTTGGTTCCGCCGTCGCGAAAATAGCTGGGTTGCCAAGAAATTAAATTACAAGTATAAGACCTATTACAGTAAAGATTAAGTAAGAGTTGCGGCACTTTAATCGTTAAAATATTACCCACTAATATGATTTTATGGATGACAGGTGAATTTCATGAATTTCCTTTTAAACACGTTCGCCCTAAATGGCTAGATGGTGAAGTTGCTTAGGCTATAAAGCTTGTTAGAGTACACTTTACATAGAAAATACATTAGGAAGATAATATCTTTAACGTGTTAGCATATTTGGTGCTCGGAATTGGATATCATACGTAATGAGGCGAGCTGATTGATGATGGACAGCATATAATTAAAACTACTTAACTAGATACGCGGTTTTCAAAGCATAACTTAATTTACAGAAATTTAAAAAAAATGTAGAAATATGGAAATGGTGGACAGGACTCTGCATATACCTATAGAATTTGATTTTTATAAAAAAATTCAAAATTTCAAAATTTTTATATCCAAAAAGAATAATTTCACGAAATATTAAGTTATTTTTCAAAATATAGACAGAAAATGATGACATCCGAAACATCGGGCCGAAGTTAAAAATCATTTTCAAATAAGTTTAACTAATATATCGTTTTAAACCGTTAAAGTGTTTTATTTAAATGTGTACTACTCGCGTAAACTATAGACAGTATTTAAATACGAACTTATTAATTACTTAATCATAATTGCTAAAACAAAATGACAATACGTGCGCTGTCTAAAACTTAAAGCAAGGTTTTGTTAAAAATCCGCGCTGCAACTTTTTGCTGACGCAAGAACATGGCACCACATTTCTTCTAGTTTAACTTAATCTTTTAAACTCTTCATTTGTTTTTATATTAAACCATTTTTTCTTTAATTTTTTCTTGTAATGGGTGGTAGAAATAGCGAAATTTCGTCAGGGTGAATAAGCAGCCTCCACAGGATGTTTCACCCCCCATTAATTGCACTTCGCGCTTGTCTGCAGTGTAGGTGTGTATTTTGTCATGACTTTAAAGCTCGTTTTTAACTGATCATTGTTTACGCACGTGACAAGTCAGGAGGAAGTAAATATAGAGCGAGTGGGCCAGCAAGTTGATTGAACTAAACTGATTTATAGATCCAAGTCAAGGAGCACGGTCAATACTATTGAACTAAATGAGGCTTATTATTCGCAGATGGCTATCAAAAGAATATAGGTCACAGTACCTATATAACTCGAGCGGATAAGCAATGTGTAAAAATATATTCAATTCACCTATTGACTTTATAATCTATATTTAATATTAAAAATGCAAAAGTAACTCTGTCTGTCTGTCGGGATTTAACTCCGAAACTACTGAACTGATTTAAATGAAACTTGGTTCACACATATTTTAGTGCTAGGACATAGAGAAAGGACGCCAAAAAAGGTTTGATAAAGGGGATGAAAGTTTGTATGGAAATTCGTGGTTTTTGAAGCTAAACAATAAAACTTTCTTCTTTGGCTTTTTGGGAATAGGAGTGAGAGTGGGAGTGGGAGTGAGAGTGGAGGTGATGTGAGGTGAGAGTGTTGCGGCAAAGTAGCACTTACAACATAGATTGGCTGCCTTAAATGCGCCCTTACATAAATTAATAAACAGCCTATATAATTAAAAATTCGGGGACGAAGTCGCGGGCACAGCTAGTACTTAATATTATCATAAGAAAGTATTGTATGTAGTTACGAGTAGTACACATTTAAATAAAACGTTTTTAACGGTTTAAAACGTGAGATATGTTAGTTAACAATTACTCAGTGAAACTACAGTATGTAGTTTCCGGTCAGTTTCACCAAACACCAATATTTGATGACTTTGACATTAGACAAACCCTCCATGTTTAATCCCCGTGACCAGGGCTGTTAAGAACTTGTAAATTTCGTGTTCTTAAACCGTTAAAAGAGTTTTATTAAAATAATACACGATCTTGAAAAATGTTGGTTAATAAGTAACAGAACAAAGTCGTAAACTGCTGTAGTTTACTACAAGTAGTATTATGGGAGAAACTTACTTTTAATTCGATTGTTTTAGTAATTCAATGGATCTCGCCATGTCGCCATCAAGCTGTCTACGTGCCGTAATATCGGTTTCTCTAAATTCTTCTTACTTGCATTGCGCCTTTTCCTTAAGTAAAAACAGTCTTTGTTAATCCCAAGGTTTTCCCCAAAATAACTTTGAATAATAAAAATTCTGAACGAGTATAAATAAATTTACAATGTTGAATCTCAATCATATATTTGCGCTCTGAACCTGATTTTAGATATTAAAAAAGAATTATCTTAATAATGTAGAAACCCGATGAGTCGACGTAGGAATGTGATTTTGATCATCAAAGCTTGAACATTAAATTTTTTGACGATCAGAAAATGATTTATTTGTTTATAAAAATGTTTGTTTTTATTTTGGACTCGTCTCGAAACTAATATTTTTTGACATAAGTAGTACATAATATGCTGTGTTTGGTAATGTAATTATTTGAACTTAAGTCTTTTTACACAACATTAACATAAACATAAACATTTTTTTCTATTACTTAGTTTTTTAGTTTTGACGTTCTCGCTATTGTAATTATTGTGGTTTTGATCTTCACCGGCTTCTTCTAATCAATTTATAATTTGGCTATATCATGTTGGATTTTGTCTGGACATTTGAATATCAAATGGCTGGTAAGAAATCCAAATTCCGCCCGGGTCACAAACCATCGTCCAGAGATGAAAGACTCCTCAAGTTTATTCGCGTTTCGATTTTAGTCTGTGGATTTCCGAATATCCAAAGCCAAAATAGGTGGACAGGAAATCTTGTTTAGATGTTATATGACTAGGTTATTTCGCCTGTCATCAAGTGAACTCCGTGCTTCTCTGTTCTCCTCTATCATATAAAAAAGTTTACGAAAATAGGAAATCTCTTCATCCAATTCACCCCAAGCTTCTTCCTCCATAATATCTTATAATCCGATTCACGCAAAGCTATTCAAACTTAGAGAGAAAACAGTAATAATTCTACGAAAAGGTATCATGTCCACGAACGATGCGGGGAATAATATTCCAAAATGGTATGACGCTCAAAATTTGCCAACCAAAACAGTGCCGTCAATTCCGGAATTCCTACGTTCGTAAAATTTTCATTCGCCTACGTCAGTTGCGCACGATTCAGCTAAGTTGAGCTGACTCAATTTTATTCCGTTTATATTACCGAGCTTGCGGTTTCGTTGTCAGTATCGCGTCTGTGGTGTTAGGCTCTAGTTGCCTTCACGTAACTCGTTCGGCAAGTGTCAGTGCTGAGTGATAAGTCTTATCAACATGTTGTCCGGCGATATTTGTGTGAACATCTCGGATTTCATCGATGTCGTCTACTGTGCTTATCTTCTGCAATCTAAGGTTAGCATTTATAATTAAGCAGTTGTAATTAGCGAATTATCGTCTTAACTTTTCGTTTTTTTCCCTACCCACGTCATTTGTTTTCACTTTAATTATTGATATACCAAATCTACCTTTTCTCTAAGGTTCTGAAGGTTCTATTCTATAATTAGACCGTAAACGTCAACGACTTTTAATTGAGTTAAAGACGAAATTAGCTTTCATTAATTTGAAGGCTTTAATGGTTTTATGAACCTTGCGCCGATGGACGTCATTTGTTTTTACGTCCTAACACGTTAAGTGTCTGGTTGATCTTGTAGAATGCATTCCAAGTGCATTATTGATCGTTATTCAATATTTCAATGCGTCAGTTTTATTGTCTTGTGTTTACGGCTATATTTTGCTACAAAATTAACAACTTATTACAACAGTGTATCACATAAGGAACTAAAATTATTGATATATACGTAAGTGTACATTCTACAGTCGTCTATGGAAATTAGCAAATATTACGGATTGCAGTTAATTATTTTTGATCGTATTTCATTTCGTTTACCGTTTGTAAACGAATTTAAATGCGTAAATAAGTTGAAAGTCCATTCACCAATACCGACTACATTCTATAAATAAAGCATAAATAAATATAAGAGTTCTAGAATAATTTATTTAGATAATATTAATATTCAATAATAAATAAATAATGTTTAAGAAATTAGCCAGGTAAAATTAATGAATGATCTATTGGCGGGTAGTTGGAAAAAGATACAGTATTTGGTTCAATGCCTACAGCTATAGTGTAGTTCTAGGTACTATTTATTAAATAAGCAGACATTAAAACCAAGTATGTTTTTTACAGCAGTCAGAAAGATGGCGTAAGCTTCGTAACATAGTTCAATGGACGCCGTTCTTCCAAACGTACAAAAAGCAGCGGTATCCTTGGATACAGTTAGCTGGTCATCAGGGCAACTTCAAAGCTGGCCCTGATCAAGGCACGATACTTAAGAAACTCAGTCCACAAGAGGAGAGATGCTTTCAGGTTAGTTTGCCTTTAATTCTTAAACAAACGACCCAAATACACACCTAATTTAAATAAATCGATTCAATAAAAGTGAATATTTAAAGCAATCGGTTGATTCTCTAGACGGATCACAACTTTTATGTGAACAGCTTCATTTAGTTGAAAAGTCCTCCAAATTAAAACCAATTTCGTTCTCTATCTTAGTTCCTAACACAGTACGTGTAACAAAACTACGCAAATAAAATAACAAGAATTTACAACATCGTAAAACTAAAACCACAATTCATAAAAAAACATGTGCGGTTTTGTTCTTCAAATAATAATATGTCATCATGTAATTATAAATGATCGTAGATTATAATGATCTATGAATCATGTAAAAAATAACGTTGCTTTACCTAAGAAGTATCTATTGACGTTTTAAGGACACGCCTACAAAACACGTAAAATGCCAAGCCCATGCGTTATAGAGATTCATAATAAGGGGATAATTATTGGACACCGCAATAGTGACGCTTCAAAGAATTAGATATACGTAGTGAGTCGTACAGTGGTGGCAGGAAATGTTCACTACTTTGAAATGAAAAGATATATTTTTTCTTGAAAGAATTGTTTTTGATGTGTTGTGTGTGGAACATAATAGCATGCATTAAAGTGTGTCAAACATATGTATACCATTATACGTCAAAGTAATAATTTATTGCGTTAAACAACAAGAAAAAAATTAAGCGTTAAACTTTGGAACCTCTAATTATTTCTAAAGCTGCAAAACGTCTCACTTTCAAAACATACTCTTTCTAAATATAATCAAATATCAAAATATATTTAATGCGTATTTTTGCATTACCTTAAGTGTGAGGGGTTTGAATCCCGTAAAAACATACCCGCAGGTAACACAGGCGTCGACGGACTTTGATTAGTAAAAAGGACACAGTAATGTGGATACGTCTCTCTTATAAGTATACTAAAGTTCATTTGGATGAAATAACTAATATAAAGTCTGATATAGTGCAATATATATAGTGTATAACTTGGCAATGTGAAAATAAAATAAATATATTTTATTTTTACACATTTTAGTTTAAATATTTTAATAATATTATAAACACATCCTAAGCTTTCGCACCCGACTATACATCATAACAAACGTCACTATAGTGATGCAAGTATAACAAACTATTTCCTTACAAAGCATTACCTCAATCAATTCCATTAAATTTGATCTAATGGGGCATTCCCCGGGGTAATTCTTTCCTGTAAATTTTTGTGCCCCTTATCATCTACTTTTATACATACTATAATAATGAATCTATATAATATGATCCTAAATACCACGTGGCTGATATAAAAAATATTAATAGAACCTGACGACACGTTAACATAGCTTGAATTAACATTTCGTAATTTCATTTCAATTGACGTCAATAGACTTTCGTAAGTCGCATCACTATTGTTAGTTTTATTAATAATTTGTTCGAGTTCAACGATCCACGCACAAATTGATTAGACAGTCGAATAACCTTTTAATTAAAATTATATATCTATAGATATCTGTCACGTTAGTCTAACGGTAGCAATGTATGGACAATAATCGATGGGATGTAGGTTCGATCCCCACCATGTCCAATATTTTATTAGCCGATTTATAATTTTTCTAAAACATGTTGGACTTTGTAAATCTGGATATTAAATAGGTGATAGGAATCTTGTAATTCTGGACGAGTCACGAATGATAAACCCGTGAAGATACTGTCTATAGTTTACGCGAGTAGTACACATTTAAATAAAACACTTTAACGGTTTAAAACGCGATATATTAGTTACGTGGTCAGTCTCCCCGCGACCACAGCTGCTGCAAAGCATCCGAAACGTCGGGCCGATGTTAAAAATCATTTTCAAATAAGTTTAACTAATATATCGCGTTTTAACCCGTGAAGTTTAATCGCGTTTTAGTTTCAGTGTGTAGATTTCCGAGTCAATTCAAAACCAAAATAAGTCGACAACACATCTTTAGATGCTATATAGGTACTGCACCAACAACTAAGTGAGCCCATAAGAAAAAAACACAATAAACGTCGTTCCCAATAAGTTTAGTAACGGTAGTAGTTACATCACCTCGCAATTAGCAGTATGGTGGGCCCTATACTACCCTATACGAGAGATCTGTTTCCAGATAATATATAACGAGAGATGTCTGACTGTATTGTTTTCTTTTTCAGTTGCTGATGAAAGACATTCTCCGACCTTACGTACCTGAATATAAGGGGCAAGTCACCTGCGATGATGGAGAACGTATCCTTTTGAAAATAGAACTCAAAGTGTTGATCTGTGATCACCAACTTAGGAGATGAAGACTATAGTTTTACCCCGTGCTATAGTTAAAGAAATATGTATAGTAAAAAAATTGTGCGACACTACATTTTTCTTTTTTAAGATACATGCAAAAACGCGAACGACGTCGTATAAAGATGACGAGGAGATTTGCAATTCGCTGACACGGCTAGTCTGTAAATATTTGTATTCATAATTAATTTGTACACTCAAGTTTAATTAATTAACTTGGTGTTTACTTCGATTGTATAGGGAAACGATTAAATTCGTTCGATTTCCTTAATGTACATTTATCACAGTATATTTACAACTACAAGATCTGCTGAGTGACTTCGACTGTCCCTGTGTCATGGACTGCAAGATAGGAGTGAGGACTTATTTAGAAGAAGAACTGGCGAAGGCTAAAGAGAAGACGAAGTTAAGAAAGGTTAACTTTAAACTTTTTATATTCTTTACATAAAATGGAGTTTCAGAAATCAGGTAGCAATGTATGGCTAATAATCGGGTCGTGAGTTCGATCTCCACTGGGTCCAATTTTATTCTAATCAATTTTTAATTTTTCTAAATCATGTTGGACGATGTCTGGAAATCTGGATGAATGGTAGGGATACCGAAAATTCCGTCCGGGTCACAGCCTACTTCGCGGCTTTTGCTATCGCGTTTCGGTTTCAGTCTGCGGATTTCCGAACATTCAAAGCTGAAATAGGTCGACAACACAACTTGTTTAGACGTTATGTGGCTGGGGTATTTAATCAATTGAAGCCTATGGTCGTATATCCTCCTCTATCAATCAAAAACTATAGGGGGGCATAATCTAGAATTGGAATGTTGAATTTACATAACCGAGAAGAAATCTTTCGTAATTTTGCGTAGACTTTTAAAGCAAATAGTTTAGTATACCCATCAAGTCATCAAGAAGAAGAAGCCTAATTATTACAGTTTAGCTCCTGAAAATTTCCTGAAAATGCTCAAATTATCTATTGCTTTACATTGTAATGAGTTAATAATAACTACGGTTGCAATTAAACGCATGTCGTACTATTATTTTTATTAGACCGCTTATCAAGTAACTACGTCAATACTGCAGGAATAGACAATCATTTGTTTATTTATAGATGGATAATCTTTTGCCCTTAAGCCCCTTTCCTTGTAGTGAATAATGATAAAAGACATTGTTTCGTCATTTCAAATGCTTATTACGATATTCGTAGTTAATACAATTTCTCATAATAACTAAGTTAACACGGAAATAAAAGTTTAACGTGCGTTAAGAACTTTTGGATGAGTTTTATCATAATAGAGAACTTACGTAAAGATACGGAATATTTGACGTACTCGCTGATGATAAGAATAATCAAGGTGCTCGATCTCCACCGCGTCCAATGTTTTTCTAATCAGTTTCTAATTTTGCTGAAACATGGTGGTAGGAATATCGAAATATTATACGGATCACTAACCACCCTACGCAGATTAAAAAGCCGGAAGGTTTTATAATCTTTTCGGTTTCAGTCCGTAGATTTCGGAATATGCAAAGCCAAAATAGGTCGACATTGCATCTTGGTGAACTATATAACGCTAAGGTTTTTCACTTACCATTAATTAAAGTGTATCTGTCCTTCTATATCATAAAAAAAATATACGCAATAGTTAAATAAATCACTTATGAAATATTGTCGAACAAACTTTTACACAAATTTCTTGATCATTACAGGATATGTACGAGAAAATGATCCAGATAGATCCTTCAGCACCGACTGAAGAAGAGCACAGAAGTAAAGGGGTCACAAAACCAAGGTACATGATATGGCGGGAGACAATAAGCTCAACAGCCACGTTGGGGTTCAGAATAGATGGTGTTAAGAAAGCTGATGGCACCAGCTCCAAAGACTTTAAGACCACAAAAACTAGAGAGCAGATCGTTGAGGCTTTCAAGGACTTCACTAGTAGTTTTGCTAGTGCTGTGGTGTGTATATTTCTATCTTTAACAAATCTTTACAATCTTTTTTAATGTCCAAGTGATAAACTCAACTTTTTCAATGCTTTGTGGGAGATAGATGATAATAAATATAACCGGTTGTGACTCCTTAATGAACCCAAAAAACTAAAGGTAAAATAATGTAATTTAAAACATTGTGTAATAACGAATGTTTTTTACTATTACACACTATATATTATATACTACCTACTACTATATATTATATACTACCTGTTATACAACAGGTATCAGGTGTAATAACACCTGATACCTGTTGTATAACCTTAAAAATATCTCATTAAAAATGTGTACACACAGATTTTTGATGCTATTGTAAACGAATATAATTGCCCAAATTGCATTTGTTTTACAGTAATAAATATATCTAATTTAAAAATCGCCTATCTTCTTTCAGCCGAAATACTTAGACAGACTAAAGAGCATCCGAGCCACACTCCTGGATTCACCATTCTTCAGAAGTCACGAACTGATCGGCAGTTCGCTTCTCTTCGTCCACGATAAGAGAGGTGCTTCCATCTGGATGATTGACTTTGCCAAAACTGTTCCTGTACCCGACGACATCAGCATAGACCACAACTCCGCCTGGAAGGTCGGCAACCACGAAGATGGCTACCTCATCGGCCTCGATAACCTCATCTCCATCTTCGAGTCCCTCATCAAAGACGACAACGGCAACATAGATCAGACGTACGCAGATCTGAATCTAGACAAAAACGTGCGGAGAGATACACTAGCTACCTGACCCACTCACAATATTACGAATGTAATTTGTCTTGAACTTCCATTATCAGTGATCACCATTCACTGGTAAGTTGACGATGATGTACATACATTGGAGATGTTGTAAATATTATATAGTATTACGTTAATTTCGAAATACTCATAATGTAATGTAAGAAATGATGCAATGTCGCTTTGAAATTCAACGGGACTGATAACACATTGTTTAACGTATGGAGGTAAAAAAAAAACTGATACTGTATTCATTGCAAGTATATTTTACGATTGTATTGATTATATAGATGAATTCAAATTAATTCTAACTAATGACAAACTCATAGAGTTTTACATAATATTTATATTGTTAAGTACACTATATTAGTGTAAAGACTAGATACATTTTACTATAAGTACGAGTACATAAGGCTACAATTACAGAGGTACTAATTAAAAACATATCACATACTCAATTGTTTTCTTTAAGTTATTTAATACTGCTTAATATTATGGAATGGTCGATGAGACTACTTTTAAATCTAATGGACGAAACTGTAATTCGATATGACAGTTACTAATTAACCACTTAGAATAAGGCACTTTGAGTGAATATAAATTACAGGAATGACTGGCACACCTTTGGACGGTTTTAAAGTTAAATAAATAGTTACGATATATACAGGCACTACGTATTATCTTTGTTATTATCAATCACAATATCGGTTAAACTGCCGCGTCTAGAGTCATCTTGACTGCGGCTTCTTGAACACAGTCGCGGTATAGGACCAGTGGATCTGGTTTCTGTTGAAGCGGGCGAATATCTTCTAGTTCTGGGCTGGTATTCCTCCGTCTCTGTGTACGGAGGTGGCGGCTGTGACAACATTGTCATTCGGTTCTCCCGCTGCGTTGCAGCTGTTATTTGTAACTCAGCACCAGCAACAACAGTGGCTAGCGTTGGTGTAAATTGTGGCGCTACAAGTCTAGCGCTGACTCTTCTTCGGCGAGGACCAATTTGGTCGTCCAAATCTCTACAGGGTATTGTAGGAAGATTATAGTCTGGACGTATTGAACCACGCCTTCCCGTGTCGGGGAAAGATTGTTCCGCTTGAGCGTTAGCCGTTTCTAATACTGCTAAAGCGCGCAACAAATCAGCTATACTTGTGTTTTCTAGTACTTCTACTTGCTCGTTTTCAGGTAATGTAGATATATTAACGTCTGGGTCAAATAAGCTGGGGCGACCACGTTTCGTTTTATTCCTATAATTCTCTAGGTCACTTGCAAAATCGTTTTCAGTGGACGATGATGTACCCGCGAAACAGCTGCTGCGACCATGTTTTGTCTGATTCTGGTACTGCTTGATGCTTTTCTCTAAGTCTGACGAGTAGTCCTCTGGAGTACTAGTCTTGCGACTTTTTCCAAATGAAGGGAAGAGACTGCTTCGTCCATGTTTCGTTTTCTCCTTATAGTTGACTAGCTCATCTGAGCTTTCAGGTAACGCTTCATCGTCGCTCTTCTTAGATTTACTAAATGTTGGGAACAAACTTGTCCGACCTTTACGCGTGCGATTTTGATATTTCTGTATTTCATCCTCGTCCATTGTATCGTCGTCGTTACTAGTGTGATCACTAAAGTCAAACGTGGGGAATATACTGTGTCTCCCTCGTTTGGTCTTTTCCTTGTACCTATTAGCTTCCTCTTGGTCACTATAATCAAATGTTGGGAAAATACTGTGACGTCCAGATTTCGTTCTTTCTTTGTACGCCTTAGCTTCATCACTTTCATCTTCACTAAAATTGAAAGTTGGGAATATACTGTGGCGCTTCGGTCTTTGTTGATATGATCTCATTGCTGCCCTATCTTCGTCTTCAGAAAAGTCAAATGTTGGAAATATACTGTGTCTACCTCGTTTCGTTCGTTCTCTATATTTCTCTAAATCGTTTCTTTCTTCTTCGCTTACACCGTACGACAAAGGATACATACTAGTTGGCTTATCATTAGTTGTCGCCTGCGCTGCGCTGAATCGTCCTTTCATTGTATTCTTTATGTACTCTGATGGACTGTCTCCTGAACTGGGTTTTCTAAATAGCCTTGCGAATAGACTCTTCGGTTGCATATCTTCAGCGGGGACAGTAGCTGTTGGTAGAGATAATTTACCCGTACGAATGTTTGCCTCCTTCCGATACTTCTCTGCCGTGTCACCATTAGTCCAGGTGAAGTCATGGTCGTAGTTGGCAACGGATTCTTTTCTATAATTAGGAACAGCCACGCTGCACGCTCGTGTTCTTTTGGTTAAAACATCTTGTCCTATACTAAATATTGGCGGTTTTTCACTAGCTAAGATGTGATCGTCGTCGAAAATATTAATGCCTCTATCTTGTGTCTGGTTGAAACCGCCTAGAACATTGACTACTCTGGCTAAAAGTTCAGCAGGTTTGACGATAGCTTGTGCTGTGAACGTCTTCTCTTTGTCAATGCCAAGCAGGTCTGTGTCTGATTGAATACGAAGGATGTCTTTAGTCGATAGTTGTATGTTTTCGGAGTTGGCTCTTTTTCGTTTCGGCAGGGATCCACGTGGTTCACAATCGAAAGTCAGTATAGGACAGCTTGAACTTCTGTGTAGATGAGGTTTGGGCTCGACATATACCGGCTGTAAATAATAAAAAACGTGTTATTATTTAGGTTTTTACCAGAGTAAAAATTTGTAGTAAAATTTTCCCCTGTATTGACTGAGTCTTTGTTTAATCTGTGACAATCACAATAGTTACAGTAACTAAGATGTCATGTATGCACAAATACGTGTAGAATGTATTTATTTCGTTTATTTAAATATCCAATCCTTATAACAGTAGTTATACAAGACGATTGACCAACCAGTTTGTCAAAATTTAACATTTTCTTAAAAGATAAACTGTTTTAGGAAAATAGTGTATAAGGCTAACCAGATTTTTATCTTTACTTATAACGAAACATAACCAAACTTCTTACTTACCTTCAATTTAATTAGGTTAGCTTCGTTTATTATCTTCCTTATAACAGCTATATCCCTAGTGAATCCTTGTAAAATTTTGCTCTGCGTAGTTTTCAGTTGGTTAGCGAATTTCTGTTCAATCCTGTGAACTTTCTCCGATCTCATGCCGCTTGTAATAAAACCTAATAACATTACTATGTATCCGAGGCCGAATGTTATCCAAACGAGGAGGAATATTTGATAGGTCAGGAAGTAGCCTTCTTTGAAACCGTTGTTGACGGTGCCTGGAATTTAAAACATTTATTTTAACAAGAAATTTCACATTTGAATCGAACAAAAGTAAATATAAATTGAAGTATTACAATTTATATTACAAAAGCGAGCAACGCATTTAAGAAGCTTCAAGTATTGGATGTAGTTTTCTCGTGACCAGATGCTGCTAGGCCTAACGTATTTAGTGAAAAATTGTTGAGTAGATTGGTGGTTTGGTTAACTTTTTCTGGAGTCTTACAGGAGTACTTGAAATTATAAGCTTAATATAATAATAAAATGGCAATATAAAGAACTGTAATTTTGTCACAGCATATTTTGATGACTAGCAATATCAATTAACGTATTTCTATTATATACCTGCGACCAAATCGCCAAAACCAATAGTTGTCAACGTAACGAACGCGTAATAAACTCCTGCGACGAAATCCCAGCCTTCAAACACGACGAATATACAAGCAGGTAGGAAGATGAAGAACAGAAAACCCGGCACCAAGTAGAGGAAGATCTGCCCCAGCATTCCCAGGTTGTTGAAGAAGTAATCGAGCTTATCAGCTCGCTTTTCGTTGCGTCTCTTGTATTTGCGGTAGACGGAGATCAACTGGAATTTAAAAGAAATGCTAAGTATCCAATATTTGAATATAATATTTCAACAGTTTAAAACGCGAAATGTATTCGTTAATTCATTTAAGATTTATTTTAACTATGTTTTGCAGCTGTTGCTTTACCAAGTGACGGCAGTTAAGTTTCAATTTAAACCGGCTTGATCGATTTTAATGAAATTTCATAGCAGTGCGTCTGAAAATTGGACACTATCTACTTTACGTACCCCTAAGTGATGCATCCATACCCTAAAATTTTTTATATTTATTGCCTAAAATATTTTTTTTTATAATGTGGCATTAAAACATACATACAACTATTTTCACCCATTAAAAAAATTGAAAATTTTAGAATCGTGTTGGACCGGCGGGGATCGCACCCACGACCCATCGATCATTAGCCTTACATTGTTACCATTAGACGACCCCTCAAATGTTAGCTAGTACGTCAGTTAATGTTTTATCATTGTTTGATGAAGCTAACCTGCATAGTTGTGCATTCGAGATAAACGCGATCAAATATTCGCGTGATAAGAATGACATGTGTTGAACCACGTATAATTGAAATTAGATCTTTTCACTCGAAGAACGAAAGCGATAAGATCGGAACCGGCTTTATCAGATAACTCAGATCTCCATTTGTTGTCAAATAATGGAATTTTCTTAATAGCCCGCGATATCGCTTAACGGTACATCAAAAGTACGGAACGGGGTTTTTGGCTTGATTGCTCTTGTGTTGTAGGTCTTAGATTCGAATCCGGATAATAGCAGTTTTGATTGGGAAGGTTTGATCACTAGTAGAAAATGTATCTACTTAACTCTTAAATGCTGTCTGTAGTTTACGCGAGTAGAACACATAAAAAAACTTAACGGTTTAAAACGCGATATATATAAAACAAAGCCGTAGTAAAATAATTTTCAAATAAGGTTAGTATATATCGCGTTTCAAACCGTTAAAGTGTTTTATTTAAATACTTAATTCTTACCTACTTATTTTTCGTTGATTTTAATATATTTAATGAACGAACAAATTCACTGTATTCTCATAGATATTACCAATGATTGATTGAGAACCTTAATTAACAAATGTTCTAAGAATCAAGACAATAGGATTAGTACGTCTCAAGTACATAGTTACATACGCGATTGATAATTATACATAAAACTTTATTTTAGTTTATAATAGTGGTCTGTCTTTAAATTTATCAAAATAACTTATTTTTTATTTTAAAAATCAATTATAGTAATTTATATAAAACTGAAGAGTTAGTTTGTTTGCTTTGTTTGTTTGAACGGGCTAATCTCAAAAACTACTGGTTCTAATTGAAAGTTATTTTGTGTTGGTTGAGATAGAAAAAGTTTAAAAAAGATAATATACGTATAAGATTGCGCTGCAACTAACAGGAGCGAAAAAAAACAGTGGGAAATGTGGAAAAATCGGGGAAAATTATTCATCCTAGTAAGTTGCGTACGCTGCGAAAACATTTGGAAACTCTTTAAGGTATAATTTAAAACTGGAATACAAAATACCTGTAGTCCGAAGTATTCACCGAGATTGGCAAGCAAGATTCCATTGATAGGAATACCGAAGAGACCGTAGAAAATCATGAGGATCCTCGAAAGATGGGTGGTGGGGGAGAGGTTACCATAGCCTGAAATTTTAAATTAGGAAATTACTAACACGTAGTTAAATATATTTTTTATCTGAAGGAGGTGACTCGTGATCAGGACGAAATATCAATTTTCAACTAATCACTTAATAAGTATCAATTCATTTAATTTTGAACTCGGTGGGATTTGAACCCAAGACTCGTTGGTTATTAGTCATACATTAGATTCAATCAAAGCGCTGTGTGTCTACAAAAAGTGTCTTTGCTAGTTCTAATGATGCGCCAACGCACAATCGAGAAGAATTCTCAATAACGAAATCGTTGATAACGATACGTGATCGTGTACAAAAAAGACGGTCAGCAAAAACGTCATAAAAAATTAATATGTTAAAAAAATAAGTTCCACTTTTTTAACTTAATGTTCATATTAGTATTAAAATAAAACTTACCAATAGTACTGACGACCGTATACGAGAAGAAAAGTGAATGGTAGAAATCCCACATGTACGGCGGTTCTTCGTCTTCCGTTGTGATGTTGTACATCGGCTTTCCGCAGTATTCCGAAAGCTTCCGAAGGATACTGTCCTGCTTCGTTGGGTCATTTGGAATGTAGTTTTCGTAGAGAAGATCTGAAAACAGATGTTATTTGTTTGCTTAATGTTAAACACATTTACTTACACAATGTAATGTAATTGTCACAAACGGCAAGAGAACTAGCAAGTTTTATTATCATTATTAAATAAAAAAATAGAAAAAAAATATATAACAAGCATAATAAACAATTTTGCGACATTTATATTGTATAAAATCCTGACATTGTTCATGTTTAAGCGTCTTATTTTTATGTAGGTTACAAAAAGTACGTGTATACAAAAATCGAATTAATATTTGAAAGGATTATAATACTCGGTACTACTATCGGCTATCGATCTACACAGGATGCACGCGGCACGATGCAAAGGCGTGAATCTAAAGTCTTGTCGATATTATTCGGTGATTTAGATGCAAGAGCGAAATAAATGACGCATCGTGACGTAAGAAGATTGAGGGGATTTGTTCGGCATCAAGATAATCAGCTGTCGGTATCCTTTGATCCTGTATTAGCTGGAAAAATGCGTTTAACGAATCGATACAGACTTTTAAAAGGTCCTTTCCTGCTTGTGAAAATGAAAAACGATAACGCAAATTAGGCGCCTTTTTTAATTCTCTAAATTGTTTGTGTGTTATCTTTCATATCAACTTCATTATTTTGTATAAAATTACGTGAACAAATAAAGTACAGTTTGATGCCTACAGAACATCACTAACAAAATATTATTAAAAGTTATTTTTAAAAACGATTTTATATTGATTAAATTTTTATGACACGGACCGGAGTCGAACCAGCAACAAGAGTTCCGTGCTGTTGCTTTAACCAAGAGATTGCTCTGCCTGGGTTGTCATTTTTTTTCAAACTAAACTGGATTTTTATTTTATATACTGCCAGCATGTTAGAATATTAAAGTTCTATAAAATTTTCTCTTTAAATGATCTAAAAAAATGTTTGCGACACTATATGTCTTTCTTTTAACATTAACTTGCAAGAACAACGGGTCGCGAACGACGTGACGCGACAGATACGACATCGGTCGCGTCCCGGCATCGGGCAGCTTAAATTTAAGAAGATGGAGAGTTTTGCAAAAATAAATTTGGATGCCCAAAAACACTATTCCACGCGGAAGAAGTCGCTGACACAGCTAGTAATGAAACTGTTTTACGTAATAAAAGTACCCGAATATCGTTTTTTACCTTACACTGTTGGTACTATATCGGTGATAGCACAACAAAAACCTTTAACTGTAAAGTGCAATTACGAGTATAGTAATTTGGTGTCACTTTTTACGCTAAACAATTTTATGCTCGGTTCAACATTGATTGAATAATTGACTTCTGGTAACACTGTTTTTGTTTATCAACACATAAAAAGCTTGTGCCATAGTCTTTACCTTTGACAATTGTTTTTCTTACCTATATAAGCCCTTGCTTAGGTAAACAACTATATCGATTTAGTATTATCGAAAAAATAAATTAAGACCATGGTAGTGTGTAATTGGTGTCATCACAAAACTGACGTTTAGGTCAGTTGTATGATTATTTCGTTTATCAAGGTGTCGGGTAGAAGTGTTTTTCTTGTAATAGAAATAGTAACTTACCCACAATCGTCGAAGAGAGAGTAGACAATATAAAATGTCACGTTTGTGTACGAGGGCTATCGTGAGTAAATTAATGATTTAAATAAAAAACTTTAACGGTTTAAAACGCGATATATTGCTACGAGAAGACCCCCCGTGACCACGGCTGCTGCAAAGCATCCGAAACGTCGGGCCGAAGTTAAAAATCATTTTCAAATAAGTTTAACTAATATATCGCGTTTTAAACCGTTAAAGTGTTTTATTTAAATGTGTACTACTCGCGTAAACTATAGACAGTATTAAATTAATGGTTGCTTTTATTCCTTTACCTTTTAAACCGTTAAAGTATTACATTTAAAACTGATCTGTCTTTTCTGTGACTGCGTTTGCTATAAATTACCGACACTTAATTGGACGTAACCAGTACATGCGTATCTAACATTAGCAGTGACAAGTCATTACCATAACTTTTACTCTATATGGTCGTAACCTGATCGAGACCAAGGCGACTGCGCACCGATTGATAAACGATGGTTCTTAACTTCTCAAACACCGGAAGCTATGCGCTTCTAGTCTTTTGAATTGATAAAAATTGGTCACTGATAGTATTTACTAGACTTTTTAAAGACAAGTGTCGAATACAAAACAATTTCAAAAAATCTTTGCGAACGAAATTAGTAGACGTAGAAACTAGTAGACGAAATAAATATGTTGTGAAAGAACATGTTAAACTTATACGATTCAAAATTAGAAGCCTTCAAAATCGCCGAAGGCCGTGAAAATTTTCAATAATGTTTCTAAAAATCAATTCATATTTTTTCTGGAACTAGTAAGATTTAAGTAGATATTAAATACGCGATAGGAAAATTAAAATTTCATATTCACGAATCTCCGTCGACACATAAAAGCACCTGAAGTGTAATCGCGTTTCGCTTTTATTTTCTAGACAACATTAATAGTACAAATTCAATTTCGCCTAAGTTCATAACGCGTTTTTATTTTCCCCCTTATTGAATATCATGTTCTTTTGTTATTAGGCCATTCTGCCTCTATCGGCCTCAATTTGACGTAAACTTAACAATGTCTCTCGGTTGGTAATTGCCCCCTATATCAGTGTCATATATAATACTTGTTGATCGTGTGGCTATAATATCGCTATTGATCAAGTCATGGCAATATTACATATCGTAGGCGTCTCTCGTAAAAACAATGGTCGCACTTCACAAGTAACTTGTACTTTTATCATTTACAACGTCCGAACCATGTTCTACATCGAGAGAAATTCAATGAAGTGGCCCTGTTAGATAAAGAAACATTTCCGGACACTCAAAGTTTATACTAAGTTTACTTTTGTTCAGGGTCTACTACTTCTGGAATAAATGTCAACGTGTGGAACAGAATTACTATTATTTTCTACTGTCTATGATTTCTACCAGAAATGGTATTTTTGTTATCGCCGTTACCAATCCAGTTATATTTAACATATTTTACATTTAACTTAATGTTAAAATTCATGAACTTATTGTATACTACAAGGATATACAAACAAATAAATAACCTAGACCATATGACAGACAAATCTCTGTGCTGTGATAGATTATCTTCTGAGTCTCTTCGGAGTTTCAGATCAATATTTTTACTTTTCTCTCTCTAGACAGCTTTATCAATGTAAGTTTGTAAATAACGTTGAAGCGGACTATTATTAACTATATAAGTAGCTAAGTATAGTTAGGAACAGATTTATATGAAGCACTTTTATCGGTTGAAAACGCGATGTAAATAAAAAGTGTGAATTACTCTTCAGTACGACCTGATGTTTCAGATGACAGCTGTCATGTGGTCGTTTTAAACAGTTAAAAGCATTTTAAAAATGTTTCTAATATTTTAAAAATACAAAAGGTTTTTGTAATATAACTCGCGACATGAGGGGTACTTGAATCGGCATCCACAGCGTTTCGTGCTCTAACAAATTGAGCTGCTGTTTCAAGCAGTGTAGGTTCAAGTCCCGCCGAATATAAATGTCAATAGTTACTTAATTTATATAATGCCAATATGTGAAATATTAACATATTTTATCTTAATTTAAAAATCGAAAATAAATTTAAAAATGTTTCGACTCGGTCAGGACTTGAACCGGCATCGTCAGCTTTCCGTGCTGTTGCTCTTGCTGAAAGCTGACGATGCCGGTTCGAGTCCTGCCCGAGTCGAAAATTTTTCAATTTATTTTCGATTTTTAAATTTTATAGTGCCTTCATGTGCAATAACATGTGAAAAATATTAATGTTTTCAAATATTTTATCTTCTCAAAAGTTACTTGCGGTTGATATTTCGTGGTTTAGACTAAACCGGGACTAACAATGGTACGCTTGAAAAGGAGGAGTGGCTACAGCTGATTATCATTAAACGGATATAAAATGGTTTTACGGCAGTCAATTGAATCTATTATATCAATTGAAGGTCGGAGTCACTGTCAAGACCACAATGAAGGATGTTATAAATCATTTACGTAAGTTTTCCTAGATTAACGGCGTGTGCTGAAATAATCCGGGTTACAAATTAGATATAAGTCAATCTAGCTTTAAATACTGTCTATAGTTTACGCGAGTAGTACATTTAAAGAAAACACTTTAACGGTTTAAAACGCGATATATTAAACTTATAAGTTAAAGTGTTTTATTTAAATGTGTACTACTCGCGTAAACTATAGACAGTATTTTATTAAAAATATGTAAAGGACATCAAGCCAAAATTGAATGTTCAAAGCGAAAATAGGTCGACAGCATATTTTCTTTAGATGATTTGTATTTTCCTACTATCAAGAAAACCTCATACTTGAGTGTTTCTTTCTAATTTTCACGTATTATTATATAATAGACATTCAAAATTTCCAATCAACAATGTCAATTTGAATTATACTCGTAGCTACGTACACTTCTTAAATGGTTCCAATTATGTGAAAATCACTTATCGAATCTTAAATATTTCTAATATTTGTGTTTTAAACTAAGCACGAGGCTAAATATCTTGTCAGTACGTCCATCGTTGAAAACATACAACAATGCCTTACGTATCATAAATAACTTAATAACCAATAACAATGTGTTATTTATTAATTTGTGGTAGGTAAATTGCTACAGTATAATAATTTACGTGCCTTCTTACGTACTCAAATCGTAAATATTGAGTAATAAGCCAATAGCGTAAGTATTATGATTATGTATATGTAATTTATTACTGAAAAGGACATCCGTTGGCCTTATAGAGTTTGACTATTGGTCACGTTTTCGCAGTAAGTACTACTGTAAGAGTATAAGTATTTTTTCATAATCGTCGTTTAGGCTATTTCAGATGAGGAGGTCATAGAAACGTGTTTTCAGAGCTCCTTCGAAAGCACCGCAGCAGTCTGGTGATGTATTTAGTGGGGGGATGTTTAGGAGTTGGTACTGCCAGCTTGTATA